CTACCCACATTATTTAGTTCAGTTCAGACTAGTTCATTGTGTGAAGTTCTAAACGTGTGCGATAATTAGTTGTGGTTTTATAAATTTATTAACAAAGTAATCGGACATAATTTCCGCGAATGGAGCAAATCGAGCAGCGTGCCGTCATTAAGTACCTCCATAAGAAGGGGCTATCATCAAAAGCCATCCATGATGACATGGTCAGCACATTAGGCGATTGTGCTCTGTCATATTCATCCGTCAAAAAATGGATAGCAGAATTTAAGCGTGGTAGACAGAGTGTGAAAGATGAACCCCGCTCTGGAAGGCCTTCGACGTCAACTACTGACGAAAATATTAAAAAAGTACTTGATTTAATATTGGGAGACCGCAGATTAAAAATTAGAGAGATAGCCGAGATTATAGGCATCTCTTATGAACGAACTCAAAATATCATTGCCAACGAGTTGGGTTTCCACAAGGTGTCTGCGAGGTGGGTTCCGCGACTGCTTTCAGTTAAACAAAAAAGGACGCGATTGACTATTTCACGCGACTGTTTGGAGTTATTTGATGCCGATGCAGATGATTTTTTGAATCGTTTTGTTACTATGGACGAAACATGGGTTCATTACTGTACACCTGAAACAAAACAACAATCAAAACAGTGGAGAAGACCTGGTTCACCACCCCCTAAAAAAGGCTAAGTCGATTTTGTCGGCAAATAAGGTGATGGCTTCAGTATTCTGGGACTCGAAAAGGTGTGATTATGATTGATTATCTTGAAAGGGGTCAGACTATAAACTCTGATTACTACTGCACCTTACTACGTCGTTTACGAGAGGAAATAAAAGAAAAACGTCGAGGAATGCTCAGAAGAAAAGTCCTGTTTCATCAAGATAACGCCCGTGTTCACACGTCTGTACAGTCAATGGCTGAAATTAACAACTGTGGCTTTGAACTGTTACCGCATCCGCCGTATTCACCTGATCTGGCACCATCAGACTTCTTTCTGTTCCCTACCCTAAAAAAGCACTTGGGAGGTCAAAGATTTTCGACAAACGACGAGGTCAAAGCAGCTGTAGACGCATATTTTGACTCTAAGGAAGAATCATTTTTTTTCAACGGTCTAAATGCTTGGAAGGGAAGGTGGCAAAAGTGTATTGAACTTGATGGTGATTATGTAGAAAAATAAAAATATAACTGATTTAGTATGTGCTTATTTTCTTGGTTAGGCCGAGTACTTTTCAATCCACCCTCGTAGTGAGTGTTCGGAATGCCATATCTAGTGCGTATTACATATATATCGAGGGATTTTAACAATATTTTTCTGTAGTTTTTAAGAGATTCTGTTGTCTGAGGAGATAATATACACGATATTGACATATTTGCATGCAGTGAGAAGAAATTCTTAATTACAGCATACAAATGCGTTGAAAATTTTTAATTAGTTTTTTATTTTACCATCTGTAGTGTTATGCTACATAGTTTTGACATCGTTGTTTATCTGGTTGTCATGGCAATTTTTATTCGAATTCGTTACCAGTCTGATGTTTTTACTTCAAAACTTCCACAAAAATACTCTTTTCTTCTTGGCCATTTACAAAAATTTGCTTTTAATTTAAATAATTTCCCGTTCTTTTCACAAATCCGTCGTCGAACGCGGGTCTCTAAAAAAAGTATAAAAGCCGAACAATCGGCCAATAAAAAAAGTCTCGCTTCAGCTTTCATACTAGAAGCATCTCCTAAAGGACTTATCTACACTGCCCCGGGATCCTGCAAGCCTCTGCCTTCACCTGAAGTCGTCGCCTAGCCACGCCTACGCCTCCACCTGCTCCAGACGCTGCGTGTACCAACTCCAGACGCTGCGTGTGCCTACTCCGAGCGCTGTGTGTGTCTACTCCGGGCGCTGCGTGTGCCTACTCCGAGCGCTGTGTGAGCCTACTCCGGGCGCTGTGTTTGCCTACTTCAAGCGCTGCGTGTACCTGCTCCAGACGCTGCGTGTACCTACTCCAGACACTGTGTTTGCCTACTTCAAGCGCTGCGTGTACCTGCTCCAGACGCTGCGTGTACCTACTTCAGACACTGTGTGTGTCTACTTCAAGCGCTGCGTGTGCCTACTCCAGACACTGTGTATGTCTACTTCAAGCGCTGCGTGTACCTGCTCCAGACGCTGCGTGTACCTACTCCAGACACTGTGTGTGTCTACTTCAAGCGCTGCGTGTGCCTACTCCAGATGCTGCGTCTTCCTAGATCAGGCGCTGCGCACCTACCACAGGCAAAGCCTGTGCATACTCCGTGATGCTTCTAGTTTGAAACCCCATCATCATTTTCATATATTTTTATCTTTTAAAATTTTAAATAAATTATTTTTTTTTGGTTGTTTCGTTGTTGTTAGGTTAGGTTATTTAGTTTTTAACTGTCGCTTTACGACTCATCAATTTGATAGATTTTATACTAGATATCGTTATGTATAGTCAGCAGTTTTCTTATATTTAGGTTAGTTATAGCATCGCATTGGTTTGATAACTATAATGATGTTATAATTGTGTAATAAATAAATAAATAAAACAAAATAAAAATACATACGGGCAAGCTTATTCATAGTTTTCTAATGCGAAATCATCACATCCATAATCGATTAATTAATTATTGTTGGGATTTTTATTCCTAGTTAATAACGGAAATTACCATATAGACTATAAAAAATACCTCAAAAGTACCATATAATTCGTATGTATTTATATTTTATACGAGTACCGCCTTAAAATATAACATCAGGCATGCACTTTAATAATTATGGGGCCTATTAGAAATATTATATTTGAAATAGTTCAGCGTTAATACTTTGATATCAAATTCTTCCAAAACGTTACGGTACAGTAATTTAGCTACTAGTTAAAGACGTAACGGACACATTACTAAGAGTCAGTCAAAATAAATGCAGAACAAAGAACGATCGCTTCTATAACCGTATAGCTCCGCAATAAAGGTTCACGGACCAATGCTCAGTAAGTCTACAAATTTAAACTAACCATCATGCTGGGAAGCGTTATACTCTTAATAATGGAACGTGTTATAAGAGATGAGCGTAAAAGTCCTTATAACTAACTGAAGAAGTTAGACAGTAAACGTCTTGTATAACTCAATGACGTCTTACAATTTAAAATAAACGACAACGGGAGGGCGGAACGAGGGAGAAAAATATTATACATTATATTTTTATCTGCATCTTTATATTTATCTACTACTGAACATCAAATATTTTATTTTATCCTTTATAGCGAATTTTGTCAAAAGTTGATTAATTTTTTATTCCTGACTTGCATAATAACCTGACAAGCATTATGTTGCCACCTGACATTATCGTACCTAAGAATAAATAGGAAATAGATATGGATACAAACACAAGAACAGCTAAACACTTCTATGTTTAAGACTTTGAAGCATCGTCAACATCGTCTAAACATTATTTTTAAAAAGTCAACTTTAAATGAAATTTGGTAAAAAAAAAAGACTAGATAGAGTCGTTTTAAATCGCCCAATGCTGGACCCAGAACATCCCTTATTTCTGATAAATTGTTTGAGCGCATATAGATTGATGAACTTCACAATACCTTCATTTTTTATGCTCTAAGCAAGTTTTCTTGCGATATTTACCAATTCCAAACATATGGTTTATCTGCTAGTAACTGCTGCTAAATTGTATTTAAATAACTTTATAGGTTCCTGTACACGGATTCAGACTACGGTTAAGTAAATTAAGATATCCCTAATGATTTGAATAGATATCACTAAAAATCTATTCGTATCCTTAGACCATACCCCAACTTCCCTAGAGAAACCTTGTTCCGATAACAATAAATGAATAGTTCGTTGCACCATCTTGCTTAAACCTGATTCCAAATTGACCATCGTAATTGATGGTACACGTATGTTGACACCATATCCTGACTTACTTATCTTTATTCCTTTCACATTCAGCTTTCGAAGGTCGAAACTATTTTGAGGCTCAGTATTTATTATTTAGTAGGTATGTTTGCGTATCATTTAATTTTATTGGACACATTTTAGTAACTATCTACGTCTGTTATTGATAAAAGTCTGTTAATGATAAATTAATTAATGACACAAGTGTAAATCTTGTTTTCCTTCTTCAATATCAGTCCGCAAGGAGGGCACTGGATTTTTCCATTAAGGATTTGTTACTAGACTTCTTCTACTTTTGACGCTTCTTCCCGTAGTCGGTCTTGTTACTTTGTCTTTTTCTATAGATTACGGGAGACAAATGAGCACGCAGTCCACCTGATGGTAAGTGAATGCTGCGGCGCATAGAATACTTGATTAAGAATCATAATGCAAATGTGTAATCCACCTTAAGGACTAAGATAGTTTGCCTCATTTACAGCTAAAAGGGTATCCGGTTCCACTCTCCATACGAAACACAGCGGCATTAAGCTACTATTCTACGCTAGTATTCTGTGGGAGCGTGGTCCTACCCCGATCCGACATATTTATGCTACAACCACAATATAGCTATACCTTGACTTGACCTTGACGGTTTTATCATCTCATAGGGGCAGATATTGTACGTGGTGGGTACAATATCTGCCCCTATGAGATGATAAAACCGTCACCTATCGGATTGGATCACATAGCTTACATCATATTTCACATGATCACCTGTTCTCCAGATAAATTTAGAATGCAAGATACACGATAAGATAAAAATACAATAAAAATAAACTACTTGTGTATTTTACGGCATTTATTTTGAATTGCGAATTATCTTGCGGAATTCGGAATACAATGTTTAGAAGAGCGGATTTCACTTAATTGGGACTCTAAAATAACAAATCCAAAATATCTCAGTTTTGGTTTATTTCAATTCAATTCATTTTCAATAAAACAATATTTAGTACACGATTTAATTTACATTAGATTAACTGCATTAATAATGATCTTACTATAAATCACATCCAGGAAAATTGTTTCCTGTTAATACAGTTTTTATGCAAGAAAATTTACCTTTTTTGAGGACATTGACTTATAATTTGATTTGTTGAAGCAGGTACATCCTCCTGGCAGGGTAATCTTTCTCTTAAAGTCAATTCCTTTCCACAGGACCAATTATATAATCTAACCGCCGTTTTACCGCTATAGTAAGCAAAAGTTCTAAAAGCTTCGTCGGTTTCTTTCGGAAAACATAACGCACCACCCATAGCAGCTCCAGCTGCTGTCATAAATATGCGTCTTGGTATACCTTTTCCAACTGCTAGCAAGTATCCAGTCCCAGCTCCTGTTAGAACTACGGCCTTTCGAACTGATAAGTTCTCACTATCTCTCATGGATGCTTTAAAGTCCTTTTTCGTTTCACTTAAAGATGTTCGAGCATTGTTATAAATTTCTTTTACAGTTCGAGTCATCTGACACGTTTTATTTTGCACTTCTTTTCTACACATTGTAACATAAGGTAGAAGAAACCGGTGCATTAACTTGACATCAGCTTCAGGACATTTAGATTTACTAGCTATAAATTCCTTGTATTCATAATGCGGACTTTGATAAAGTGGCAAATCTTTATATTTCATTGGAGGTGGTTTCTTTGGCGGTTTTGAAGAAGAATCTGCTTTTACTACTGGAATCAAACATACCTTAAATCCAAGTAAAGCAGATTTTAATGCAAACAGCCATATTTTTCCGATAGTGTATAAATCTCCGTAACAAAACTTAGATTTGGAAATTTTGCTTTCATTGTTAGAATTTAAAATTTGATCATGGCTTTTACACCTTTTGTTCATCAAATCAGTATTATACATATATTTTGTTTGCATTTTAGAGATTTTGTGTAATTATTACAACGATAATTTTGATTTAACTAAAATAATTAGGCGTTATACGTTTAATAGATTGACGTGACGTTTGGTCATGTACGCCTGACGTTTAAAATAAAACATTCTATTCTCCTTGGTTAAAGGTTCGTATGGTGTTTATATCGTTAAATGTAATTTTGTGTTGTTCGCCACAAATAAAAATTACAAAATAAAATAACAATAAAATTTAAAAAATAAGCTAAACGTGGTGATTATATACTCTTTGCTATAAGTCTACAATTCCACTTTATGGTAAAATATGATATATTATAGGAATGGAAGTCTTGAATGTTTTTTTTACAAAATGGGGTGACAAACGAGCACACAGTCCACTTGATGGTAAGTGGATGCTGTGGCCTATAGACATTTATATTTATCTTTTATTAAGAGTAAAAATGCAGATTCTTTGTCACTTCCGAGGACTACGACGAAATTCCTCGGATCCAGTAAAAAGGGGTCTCCGGTTCTCTACATTCACTATACGAAGCAGCATTATGTTATTTTACGCTGATTTTCTATGAAAGCCTCCTCGCTTTCTATAAAACTCCTTCCAAGGTCGAGCTACAACCATAATATAGCTACAACGTGGCTTTACTAAGTAAAAAAAGGAAGGCGTACTACATAAATAAAACCCTAGTCACAAACATTAGCAACACTAGTCTCTTGAAAAGGCCTTTTTTATATTCGGATAGAAGAAATTAAAAACAAATTAATAATACTGATCTACACCGATCATAAAATTGATAAAATGAATTAGCACAATGTATCTATCGAATGTAAAGAAATATCCATGACGAAGGAATTCAAATCCGCAGTTCAAGTATTTTCAATGAAAACGGTAGAGGGAAATTTAATCGGGTAATTTCTGCGCATACAACACTACATTTAAATATCTTTAATTGTTCGGTCACCGTTAACGTTACACTCTATCAAAAGTCCAGGGGGATATTTGCCATAGGTGCCATGCTTAGCATGCGGGTTTACTGCGGCTTAGCATGCTGACAGCAGTCAGGAAGACGCTGCAGCTCAAACACTGATATGTCCCTCTGTCTCTGTTGTTTCTTGGCATGCGGGTTGACTGCGGTTATCAGCACCCGTGCATGCGGGTTACCGCAGGTCAGGAAGACGCTGCAGCTCAAACACTGATATGTCCCTCTGTCTCTGTTGTTTCTTGGCATGCGGGTTGTGCGGGTTATCAGAAAGACGCTGCAGCTCAAACACCGATATGTCCCTCTGTCTCTGTTGTTTCTTGGCATGCGGGTTGACTGCGGGTTATCAGGAAGACGCTGCAGCTCATACACCGATAAGTCCCTCTGTCTCTGTTGTTTCTTGGCATAGTGGGTTATCAGGAAGACGCTGCAGCTCATACACCGATATGTCCCTCTGTCTCTGTTGTTTCTTGGCATGCTGTGGGTTATCAGGAAGACGCTGCAGCTCATACACCGAAATGACCCTCTGTCTCTGTTGTTTCTTGGCATAAGGGTTGACTGCGGGTTATCAGGAAGACGCTGCAGCTCATACACCGATATATCCCTCTGTCTCTGTTGTTTCTTGGCATGCGGGTTACTGCGGGTTATCAGGAAGACGCTGCAGCTCATACACCGATATGTCCCTCTGTCTCTGTTGTTTCTTGGCATGCGGGTTGACTGCGGGTTATCAGGAAGACGCTGCAGCTCATACACCGATATATCTCTCTGACTCTGTTGTTTCTTGGCATGTGGGTTATCAGGAAGACGCTGCAGCTCATACACCGATGTGTCCCTCTGTCTCTGTTGTTTCTTGGCATGTGGGTTATCAGGAAGACGCTGCAGCTCATACACCGATATGTCCTTCTGTCTCTGTTGTTTCTTGGCATGTGGGTTATCAGGAAGACGCTGCAGCTCATACACCGATATGTCCCTCTGTCTCTGTTGTTTCTTGGCATGCAGGTTGACTGCGGGTTATCAGGAAGACGCTGCAGCTCATACACCGATATGTTCCCCTGTCTCTGTTGTTTCTTGGCATGAGGGTTGACCGCGGGTTATCAGGAAGACGCTGCAGCTCATGCACTGACATGTCCCTCTGTCTCTGTTGTTTCTTGGCATGTGGGTTATCAGGAAGACGCTGCAGCTCATACGCCGATATGTCTCTCTGTCTCTCTTGTTTCTTAGCATGCGGGTTGACTGCGGGTTATCAGAAAGACGCTGCAGCTTATACACCGATATGTCCCTATGTCTCTGTTGTTTCTTGGCATGTGGGTTATCAGAAAGACGCTGCAGCTCATACACCGATATGTCTCTCTGTCTCTGTTGTTTCTTGGCATCTGGGTTATCAGGAAGACGCTGCAGCTCATACACCGATATGTCCCTCTGTCTCTGTTGTTTCTTGGCATGTGGGTTATCAGAAAGACGCTGCAGCTCATACACCGATATGTCCCACTGTCTCTGTTGTTTCTTGGCATGTGGGTTATCAGGAAGACGCTGCAGCTCATACACCGATATGTCCCTCTGTCACTGTTGTTTCTTGGCATGTGGGTTATCAGAAAGACGCTGCAGCTCATACACCGATATGTCCCTCTGTCTCTGTTGTTTCTTGGCATGTGTGTTATCAGGAAGACGCTGCAGCTCATACACCGATATGTCTCTCTGTCTCTGTTGTTTCTTGGCATGTGGGTTATCAGGAAGACGCTGCAGCTCATACACCGATACGTCTCTCTGTCTCTGTTGTTTCTTGGCATGTGGGTTATCAGGAAGACGCTGCAGCTCATACAAAGATATGTCCCTCTGTCTCTGTTGTTCCTTGACATGCGGGTTGACTGCGGGTTATCAGGAAGACGCTGCAGCTTATACACCGATATGTCCCTCTGTATCTGTTGTTTCTTGTCATGTGGGTTATTAGGAAGACGCTGCAGCTCAAACACCGATATGTCTCTCTGTCTCTGTTGTTTCTAGACATGCGGGCTGACTGCGGGTTATCAGGAAGACGCTGCAGCTCATACACCGATATGTCTCTCTGTCTCTGTTGTTTCTTGGCATGTGGGTTATCAGGAAGATGCTACAGCTCATACACCGATATGTCTCTCTGTCTGTTGTTTCTTGGCATGTGGGTTATCAGGAAGACGCTGCAGCTCATACACCGATATGTCGCTCCGTCTCCGTTGTTTCTTGACATGCGGGCTGACTGCGGGTTATCAGGAAGACGCTGCAGCTAATACACCGATATGTTTCTTTTTCTCTGTTGTTTCTTGACAAGCGGGCTGACTGCGGGTTATCAGGAAGACGCTGCAGCTAATACACCGATATGTCCCTCTGTCTCTGTTGTTTCTTGGCATGTGGGTTATCAGGAAGACGCTGCAGCACATACACTGATATGTTTCTCTGTCTCTGTTGTTTCTTGACATGCGGGTTGACTGCGGGTTATCAGGAGGACGCTGCAGCTCAAACACCAATATGTCCCTCTGTCTCTGTTGTTTCTTGGCATGTGGGTTATCAGGAAGACGCTGCAGCACATACACCGATATGTTTCTCTGTCTCTGTTGTTTCTTGACATGCGGGTTGACTGCGGGTTATCAGGAGGACGCTGCAGCTCAAACACCAATATGTCCCTCTGTCTCTGTTGTTTCTTGGCATGTGGGTTATCAGGAAGACGCTGCAGCTCATACACCGATATGTTTCTCTGTCTCTGTTGTTTCTTGGCATGCGGGTTGACTGCGGGTTATCAGGAAGACGCTGCAGCTCATACACCGATATGTCTCTCTGTCTCTGTTGTTTCTTGGCATGTGGGTTATCAGGAAGACGCTGCAGCTCATACACTGATATGTCTCTCTGTCTCAGTTGTTTCTTGACATGAGGGTTGACTGCGGGTTATTAGAAAGACGCTGCAGCTCATACACCGATATGTCCCTCTGACTCTGTTGTTTCTTGGCATGTGGGTTATAAGGAAGACGCTGCAGTTCATACACTGATATGCTTCTCTGTCTCTGTTGTTTCTTGACATGTGGGTTGACTGCGGGTTATCAGGAAGACGCTGCAGCTCAAACACCGATATGTCCCTCTGTCTCTGTTGTTTCTTGGCATGTGAGTTATCAGGAAGACGCTGCAGCTCATACGCAGATATGTCTCTCTATCTCTGTTGTTTCTTGGCATGCGGGTTGACTGCGGGTTATCAGGAAGACGCTGCAGCTCATACACCGATATGTCCCTCTGTCTCTGTTTTTCTTGACACGCGGGTGGACTGCGGGTTATCAGGAAGACGCTGCAGCTCATACACCGATATGTCCCCCTGTCTATGTTGTTTCTTGACATGTGGGTTGACTGCGGGTTATCAGGAAGACGCTGCAGCTTATACACCGTTATGTCCCTCTGTCTCTGTTGTTTCTTGGCATGTGGGTTATCAGGAAGCCGCTGCAGCTCATACACCGATATGTCCCTCTGTCTCTGTTGTTTCTTGGCATGTGGGTTATCAGGAAGACGCTGCAGCTCATACACCGTTATGTCCCTCTGTCTCTGTTGTTTCTTGGCATGTGGGCTATCAGGAAGACGCTGCAGCTCATACACCGATATGTCCCTATGTATCTGTTGTGTTTTGACATGCGGGTTGACTGCGGGTTATCAGGAAGGCGCTGCAGCTCAAACACCGATAAGTCCCTCTGTCTCTGTTGTTTCTTGGCATGTGAGTTATCAGGAAGACGCTGCAGCTCATACGCAGATATGTCTCTCTGTCTCTGTTGTTTCTTGGCATGCGGGTTGACTGCGGGTTATCAGGAAGACGCTGCAGCTCATACACCGATATGTCCCTCTGTCTCTGTTTTTTCTTGACATGCGGGTTGACTGCGGGTTATCAGGAAGACGCTGCAGCTCATACACCGATATGTCGCTCTGTCTATGTTGTTTCTTGACATGTGGGTTGACTGCGGGTTATCAGGAAGACGCTGCAGCTTATACACCGATATGTCCCTCTATCTCTGTTGTTTCTTGGCATGT